CTTTCTTTCTTTCTTTCTTTCTTTCTTTCTTTCTTTCTTTCTTTCTTTCTTTCTTTCTTTCTTTCTTTCTTTCTTTCACAAGCACAGGACCTAATACATGTTCAAATTGACCTGTGACCCTCATGATGTAGATCATAGCCTATCACATCACATGCCTGCTCATCCTAGGCGATTCTTTCCTATATATTTTTGTCATTGGAGGTTCACTTAAAATGCTGGGTTTCCCCACCCCCCTCAATTTCTCTTAATGTTGATAGGATATTAAAGGAAGATGTGGGCTGTACTTTGGTTATGCCACACCACCAGCCTATATCTTCTGCTCATTCATTTTTTTAGATGATAATCTTTACTGTCTTCTCCATAATTTCTTGTGTGAAATTTTAAGGCTACTCCCTGAGTTCACATTCTCACTTAAGATTTGTGCCCAGAGGCATAAATGGCTTTGATTCCCTTCAGGATTCTAGGGATACTTCTGAGGAATTGTGGTTTCTAACATTGTATCTCATGAGCCCCCACCAGTGTGCTTTCCATTACCAATCAGCTAGTTGAATCTATTAATTTTTTTTAAAAAAGGATTTACTCACAAGGTATAATAAGAACATTTATTACAAAATATTCCCCCCACGCATACCTCAAACTAGGGGCACACTCTCTGCTCATACAGTAAGTTCTCTGAGGAGAGTAGTCTCAGAATTAAAGCAAAAGGTAGAGAGGAATACATATAGAAAACACATGTGGAAAATACACATGAATTGACTCCTGGACCTGGAAGTCCTTTTCTTCTTCTATGTGTTTTCCCCTTTCCCCCCTTAGGTGTAACTGAATGTTAAGCCCAGCTCAGCCTAGAGGACCAATGCCTCTTTTGAGACCCCAGTCAGCACGTTTTTACAGTGTGAAGGGTCTCATTCCTTGAAGTCGTGGGGGCACTTGGATGACATTTCTTTCTGCATCTGCTGCTGCTTCCAGTCATGATGGGGATCTCTGAATCTCTCAGATTTAGTTGGTCATCCTGATATGTGGCTGCTGGTTCCCTCTCTCCCCTTCCTGCTCAGGTCCTGGAAAAGAAGAAGCCAGCTGTTGCTGATTCCCCCTGGATCCAGCTGCTGCTGAGCTAACAATAACAACAATAATGATGATAGCTATCACTTATATAGGGCTTTAAGGTTTACAAAGAGCTTTACAAATATTGCCTCATTTGATCCTCACAACAACCCTGAGAGGTAGGTGCTGTTATTTTATCCCCATTTCACAGATGAGGAAATTGAGGCAAACAGAAATTAAGTGACTTGACCAGAGTCATGCAGCTAGTAAGTGTTTGAGGCAGAATTTGAACTCGTGTCTTGACTCCAAGTCTTGTGCTCTGTGCACTGTACCACCTTGGGGCTGCTACCTTGTCATCTCTCTAGACCTTGAAATGCCCATGAGGTCAATTACTGGGTAAATCCCTCTCAAGGCTGCTGCTCAGCCTCCACTTCTGGACCTTTAGCTACCAGCTCCAGTGGACTGCACTTCTGACTCTGGCTGCTGGTGGGTTCTCTGAAGAGACCTTTGAATTCCTAGGTCTCTCACCATCTTGCTCTTTGGATGCATCCACCTTGGGGTACTCATTTGTCTCAGAGTAGAAAAGAACAATCATAAAAGAAGTAAGTAGGGGCAGCTAGGTGGCGCAGTGGATACAGCACTGGCCCTGGATTCAGGAGGACCTGAGTTCAAATCCGGCCTCAGACACATGACACTTACTAGCTGCGTAACACTGGGCAAGTCACTTAACCCCAGTGTCTAACTCCCACCCCCCCAAAAAAAAGAAAAGAAAAAAAAAGAAATAAGTAGACTCATGGGTAGTGTTGGTCAGGGAGTGGAATACACCCAGCTGCTCTTCCCTACCCAAAAACTCAAAGCAGCCTTCCTAAGGGGAAACCACCAAGAAAAAACAAACAGACAAACCCAGTGATGGTCAAGTGACACTTTTTGTATGCACATTCAATTCTACCTCAACACCTACTGAGTCTTCTATTCTGATTTTGTAGGCAAATAGAAGACTTTTTGCAATGTTAACACCTCAGCCACTCATGGCTCTCCAAAATTTCCACGTGATTGGATTGGAAGCCGGCAGAGCACGTCTGCACATGCTCTAAGGGCTGGCCCTCATAGGCTAATCCATCCAGGCTACAATGATCTGTAATGAGCTGCAGCTTCTGTGCCCCTACCATGCACCTTATGGTAGTGGCAGCAGCTGCTATGCAGGTTACCTTGGTTATTTCTTACAAGGTATTGAATCTATCCTCTAGATTTAATTGGTGGAAGGAGTTAAGTAAGGCTTGAACCACTTAAGAAGCTTCCTACTGGCTAAAAAAAAAAAAGCCAGCAAAACAGGCTTTTGACCAGCCAACCAGCATAGATAACACAGAGGTAGGGGAAACTATCCCTAGGTGAATCAGTGCTGTTTCCTTGACAGATATTCCATTCCCTGTTATGGCTAAGTAAACTTCATTTTGTTAGCTCTTAGCTGGTCTGTGATTTTCTCATTTTAATCCAGTCTTGGACCTCAACTACCAGACTGTCTAGCTGCCCACACATTTCTGCATTGCCCTCTGAGTGATCATTAGTTTCTGTTTTTCACAGACCACAGTGTTCCATGGTTTAAAGACATACAACATCACTAGAAGGATGAGGATATTTTGGAAAATGGGCTTTTATTTCAGGGTAAAGTTTGGAGACTTTAACATAACTTTGCAATTTCCCAATCTTGTGTATGCCTCTTGCAGAGTACTCCCCTCCTGCTCTCTTTGCTCCAACCAAAGGGACTACTCACCAGTACATTACATTTTCTCTCCTGCTGCCACATCTTTGCACACACTGCCTTGCCTCTCTCATACCTGAAATGCTCTCCCTTTTTATCTCTGCCTCTGAAACCTGTTCCCTTCAAAACTCAGCTCAAGCTCCATCTGTTTCTGGAAACATGTCCTGATTCTTCTGTTTGTTAGGATTCTCCCTCCACGCCCATACCTGCATTCACTTAACTTAGAGCAGGTTGTAGTCTAAAAGTAGACTGCAAGCATATTGAGGGCAGAACTGCCTCGCTTTTGGATTTGTCTTCCCAGAATTCAGCATAGCGTTTTGCATATAGTAGGTGCTTAATACATGCCTGTTAACTGATTATGGTGTTTTGATTCAGACTACTGTTAATCCCACTTAAAGAGATGAGATCAGTGATACCTTTTCCTAGTTTGAATCACTAAGTATCCTGGCTGAATGGTATCTGTTTTCTCATATAAACCATTACACAGAAGATGTGCCCTCTGTAGCTTTAGGTGTAGGAGGAATATGATTGTAGTGAGCACAGCCGATCTGTCTTCAGAGCTTTCGTATTAACGTATTTGAGAGACAGGCAGCTTGGGAATAGCAAGAAGGCAGTAACCCAGCCTTAGAAGACCTGGGTTCAAGTCCCGAGAAGCTCTGATTTCCTCGAGCTGTGACACCTCCCCTCCCCCCCCCCCCCCCCCCCCCCCCCGTCATCTAATATTTAGGTGCTTTAGGCAACTAATTCTAAGATACAGAGTTGACGATCTACCATGGGAGTCAGTCACTACTAAACATTTATTAAATGTCTGCTATGTGCCAAACCCTGTGCTCTGCGCTAGGAATTCAAAGAAAAGCAAAAAAGGCCCTGCCCTCAAGGGGCTCACAGTCTAATGGGGTGACAACATAAAATGACCATGTACAAACACCGCATAAATACGGGGTCACCGAGGAGGGAAGGCACCAATGTTAAGGGCGACTTGGAAAGACTTGAGCTGAGACCTGGAGGAAGCCAGAGAAGCCACAAAGCCACCTATGCTGATGAAATCACAAATCTCTTAAAAAATGTAGGAATAAGCTCCCTGTGAGACATTGCTTTTAAGTAAGTAGCCTAAATCCTCCCGCTGCTAGGTGTCCCGGCTCAGGGTCTTGGGGGTGGGGGCACACTGACTGGAGCTCAGCAAACCCCTGGGGAAGAGGGACACCCCCTCGCTCCAGTCCTCTTGGAAAGCTGCACAGCGCGGTATAGAGGATGAACAGCTGCACAGATTCGCCCGGCAGGTTAGGAAGTGTCCCAGAGGAAATTGGCCTTAAGCAATGCGGAAGATCCCCTCCAGTCCGGCTCCTGTGGTCCGAGAGGTGCTGTTACCCCTTCTCCCCACGGCAGGGCACTGACACCTCGCTTCTGGATGTAAGGGTTGCCTGCGTGGGGGGAGGATGGGTGTTGAAATTCTTACACTACCATCCCGGTGTGTGGGGGAGCTGAGAGTGGGAGAGAAGGGTGGGAGAGGGGGAAGATTAGGTGTCCTCGGGCAATGGGGCAACGTTCTAAGTTCAGGGCGCAGACGTTCTAAGGTCACCCCGCGGACGTTCTAAGGACAGAGGGCAGGCTGGCAGGGCTCTGGGCTGGGCAGCGGGTCTACCGACCCTTACGTCCCAGACCGGTCCCCAGTCTCAGACTCTGACCGGCATCGGGCCCAGGGGTAGGGCGGGGGTCCACCCGCGGCTGCGGACCCCCTTCTGTCTGCCTTCTCGGGCAGGACAGGCAGGTTCAGCCCTGCCCGCCCATCCTCCCGCCGCCCGCTAGCTCCCGGCCCAGCTCCGGGGCAGACGTCCAGCCGGCCCGCCCCCTTCTCGCTCCCCACGCGCGCAGCTCCGCCCCGGGCCCCAGCCGGCGCAGGCGCCGCCGGACTCCAGGTTGCCATGACCACGGAGGCGCTTCCCCGCCCCCTCCCCCGGCGGCCCCCGGCCCCCAGGCCCCGCCCCTCACGCCGGCCCCGCCCCCGCTGGCGCCCCCCACCCTCCTGGCCCCAGCAGGGTAGGCTGCGCGCCGGCCGCCGGGGCTGGGCAGCGCAGCGCGGCTCGGCGCAGGTGGCGGCAGGTGTCCCGCAGCCCTGGCCCGCAGGGTAGGTTGCACCGTGGGGCCGGCGGGGAGGGGCGGGGCATGAGAGTGGGAGGGAGCCCCGCTGCCCGCCCGTCCGGCCCGTGGCGAAAGGGCTGCAGGTGGAGGGCGGGCGATGGCGGTGCCCAGGGCCAGGGGCGAGCGAGGCGCGGGCGGCGGCGGCGGCGGCGGCTGTGGAGCCCACGGACCCGGGCGGCTGAGTGAGTGTCTGGCGGCCGGAAACTTTCTGCCCCGGCAGAAAAGTTCCCCGAGCGTCCGGAGAGGGTCTGGTGTGGGGGCGGCGGGGAACTATCGAGGTCCGGTGCACCGGCAGTGGGGAGAGGAGTAGATCCCAAGCGATCTCCCTCCAGGACTTGGGAGCCGGGGGGAGGGGGACCTCGACCTGGATCCTGAGGCCCCACGGGCGAGCTGGGAGTGGGAGCGAGTGTATCCCCTCTCCGACCCTCCCCCGTCCTCCGTCCGAGGTTCCGTAGTGGATTCTGAGATGGGAGCGAGTGGATCTCCCGAAAGGCGGGGTGAAGGATTGGACCGCTGCCGGGATTTGGGCTTCGCTCAGAGTGGATTCCCCCAGACTGGGGGTGCAGGTGGGGGTAGGGGATAGATCAGAGCTGGGATCCCAGGGAGAAATCAGGGTCCTCGGGAGGGTTGTGGGCTTGGAGGTACCCGGTAGCGGGGGCACCGAAGGGGACTCGCACTTTTCTGAGCCTCAGTGGAGCCCTTGCGAACCCGCAGCGCCCGGGGCGTGGGAAAGGCCCGGAGACTCACAGTGGCCGCTGAGCCGCTCCCGGAGGATACCCCGCGGGCCAGGCTCCGGTCCACCCTTCTCCTCGGGGAGCTGGAAGGCTCCCTCGCCAATCTCTTGAGGGGCTCGTGCTCCCTGGCGCGCCCAAACCCCGCGTGGATTTCCACCTTCTCACACAAAGGGCCGATGAAGGGAAGCCGATGGCTAAGGGGTGGGGGGCTTAGGGTCCTCGTTGTGCGTCCCTGAGGGTGTTGGGCTGGGCTGAGCGGCTCTCCCCCTTCCTGGACTCCCCCACATCTGCTCGGAGGCTCGGATGGGAGAACAAAGTCGCTTTGATGGGATTAAGGGCTCAGGCGGCCAGCTCCAACCTAACCCCAACTCTCCCGGGAGCTGCATAGGATTTCCCCTTCTCTCTGTCATCCTACCTTCCCTGTCCCCAAGCCTAGCTGGGCCCAGGCGGTCCTGTCCCCTGCCTAGGCTTGGACCAGAGGGAGGCAGGGGCCCCGAGGGGAAAAGAATGGATGATCCCCAGCTTCGTGGAAATGGCCTGTTGCCCCACACCCAGAATCTGACCTTTTAAACAGCCAGCTAGCTCTGGGGCTCCAGCCCCTTTCCTGGTAGCCGAGGACATTCACTTAAACCTTATTATCTCTGAGGAGATAATTGAGCGTCTGACATCCATAATTTGCCCTAAAACTGGTTCTGATGTCTGTGTTTAATGCCAGGCTGATACTTAACTTCCCTAGAGATTATCCATTATCTTTTGGAGGGGGATGTGGCCTTTGGACCAAATGTTCTCCCCCCCCCCCTCCTCATTTTCTCTGTATATGTCTCTCAGGAGGCTTCCTTCTGCCTCTTCAACTGTCTATTCTCTTATAGCTGAGGTAAGGCCCTTTTAATCTAGCGGCTTGGGGAAATTGGTTTCCAGGAGGTCTGGGCCAAGTCTTGGCCAGCCTAGCTCAGTAGGTTTGGTTTAATCAGTAACTTTTTACCCTGGGCATTGCCTCTCCTTCTCTGTGCTTCGACTTTGAAAATACCTCTGAGTTACAGAGTGGTTCTGTTAAGGTGTTGGTGACCAGGGAGACATTGGGGGCCTCCTCCAACGGAGCGTCCTTCTGGAAGGGATCCCACAGGTTCAAAGACACAGAGTCAGTTAGGAGGGGCCTTGGAGGTCATCTGGACCATCCTCCTGACTAGGGCATTCTAGGATGGGGCTGGGCCTAGAGGCTTATTTTTAGCTGGAAACAAGCATTCATTATTGGGATTTCCCTAGATAAATAGGGCTTGGAAGCAGATTTGTTAGCATCTACAAGAAGGGAAAGACTTCAGAGTGGACAGCTTGTGGCAAGTTAACATTTTATTTCTTTTTTAAAGAAAAGTTTTCTTCCCAAATCACAGTCGTATACCTTTTCCACCCTTGTCTTCCCCTGTGACAAAGAAAAGTCTGCTCAGGGAAGCTACTCGGTATATGTTGACTCAGTCTGACTGCATTGCAAACCTCTCCAGAGCTATAAAAGACCATTTAGCTGACCTCTTTTATTTTAAAGAGCAGGAAACTGAGGCCCAGAGAGGTTAAGTCACTAGCTCAAAACATCCACAGGTACTAAGTGACAGTGTCAGGATTTGAACTCAGTTCTGTGACTGGTAGGATCTTTCATCTTTCTGCTCCAGCCATGCGGATTGAAGGTGTGTTTCTTTATCTCCACTCAGCAAGATTGGTCATTTTAATTACACAATTTTATTGTTCACTGGGTTTATGTGTTTTCATTATGTATAATCAAAAACAAATTTTTTTCCTCACACGGTATGGTTCTGGTCTACCTTTGCACTGATTTCCTGTCCCTTCTTATTCTGATATGGGCATTCATTGCTAGGTGGCTTAAGGTCACAGGTCTAGAGCTAGAAGGGACTTTATAGTCATAGGTTCACTTTATTAAATGAGGAAACAGAGGCTTAGAAATGTCAGGTGACTTGTCCAAGGTCCTACAGCTAGTAAATGTCAGAGGGGGTATTTAAACCTAGGTTTTGGAGGCAGCTAGGTGGCACAGTGTATAAAGCTCCAGCCTTGGAGTCAAGAGGACCTGAGTTCAAATCCAGCCTCAGACATGGCACTTACTAGTTACGTGACCTTGGGTAAGTCACTTAACCCCGATTGCCTCGCCCAAAAAAAACACCACAAAACCAAACCTAGGTCTTCCCTGCCTCCACATCCATTACTCTGTCCACTATGGTGTCCATGCTGCACCCCCAGTGAGGCACACTGAGGTGAAGGGAGTTCTTCAAAGCCATATGGCTGGTATGTGTGTGTGTGTGTGAGAGAGAGAGAGAATTCAAGGCTCTTAAATTTAGTTTGTTTAACAAATCCTTTTGCTCCAGGTAGTGAAGGTAGGTGTTGATTTAAAGTGAAACTGTTTGGGAGAATCAGTGTCCCGGTGATGAGGATTTCAGTTAGGACGGACAGTATGATATAGCAGTGAGAGTGAGGAATTCCTAGTCAGAAAACTGTGTTAGGATCTTGGGATCCTTGGAGGTCACCTAATCTGATTCCTTCACTTTACAGAGGGTCGAATTGAGGCCTGGAATGGGTTGGGGAGCGATTTATGAAGGTCACATAGGCAGTGACAGAGCCAAGATTTGAATTCTGCAAGTAATAGATTACCCCACAGAAGAAACTGAGTGAACAGAAGCATTGATCTGGCACCTACTGTGTGCTGTGGAAGTTATCTTTTCCTTACCTGGTCTGGTCTTCAGACCTCATTTTATTCATTTGTAAAATTGGGCAGCTAGGTGGCATGGTGGATGGAACACTGGGCTTGGAATCAGGAAAACTTGTCTTCATGGGTTAAAACCTGGCTTCAGGCTCTGTGACCCTGGATAAGTCCTTAACTCTGTTTGCCTCAGTTTTCTGTAAAATGAGCTGGAGAAGAAAATGGCAAACCACTCCAGTATCTTTGTCAAGAAAAACAAAAACAGGGTCATGCCACGTCAGACATGACTGAAATGACTTAACAATGACAAGAACGGACTGGATAATTAGCATTATGTTTTCCTGTGCCCATAGGAGGGGGGATTCTGCTCTGCTAGATTGTAAGCTCTATGAGGGTAAGGACTGACTCACTTAGTTCTGTCACCCCTCATGCCCAAAGCAGGTGCTTTTGAAGATGAAATAAAAGATACTAAAGATGCCTTTCCCCAAATAGAGAAGCAGCTGGTCTCTGACGTCCCATTAAGTTCTAAATTTCTCTGATTCATGTTTGCAATCTGAAAGACACAGATTGTGGAATGACTTACAAATGAGAAGAATTCTTACAAAACAGAATGTCAGAGAGTCATAGAGATTGTCAAAGCCAGAAATTCTCTGGTAGAGAATGTCAGAGCTGGGAGGAAGCCTAGAACACAGACTTTGTCAGACCTAGGAGGGAACTTAAAATACACTGTCCAAGCAGGGAAGGATCTTAGAAGAGAAAATGTCAGGGCTGCTGGGGAGCCTAGAACACAGACTCTCAGACCTAGGAGGGACCTTAGGACATACTGTCCAAGCAGGGAAGGACTTTAGAAGAGAGAAATGTCAGAGATGGTGGGGAGCCTAGAACACAGACTCTGTCAGACCTAGGAGGGAGCTTAGAACATGCTGTCCAAGCAGGGAAGGAGCTCAGAAAAGAGAAAGTCGGAGCTAAGAGGGAGCTTAGAACACAGACTCTTAGAGCTGAGAGGGGATTTAGAACAGAGAGTGTCAGAGTTGGAAGATATCTTAGAAGTTGTCCCATCTGACCCACTCACATTTACAAATGAAGTAACTGAGGCCTGGAGGGAAGAAATGATTTCAGCTAATTTAATGGACAGTTGAGTAGATAATGGTGGAGAGAATTTTAAGAGTTGGCATAAATCTCAGAAGGCTTGATGGGAATAAGGGAGTTGGAAGTATGGGAGGTATGTGTGTGTGTCTGTGTGTGTCTGTGTGAGTGAATGGTGGGTCAGTCCTACCTTTAACATTTAGCTGACATTGACGTGGCGGTGTGACAGCCTTTTGGGAGAAGGGACACAGGTCAGCTTGGGTGGAGCAACAGTGAGATCATGAATGAGCTTGGAGAAATGGCTGGAGGCTCTAGAAAGTCAGATGGGAGAGTTTGTATCTTAGGATCTGCTCATTGGTGCATTCAATGGACATTTTTGATCTTAGGAGTTAAATTTGTCTTTCAAAGTTGGATGAGCTCATGCTTACACCCAGACCTCTTTGCATATGGTTCATACTGATTTTTTTTTCTATCACTAAAGAGACATTTGAAAGCTGATATGATTTCAGGAAATGGGTTCTGCCAAGCGTACGGTTTCCACAGCTTTCTCTAGCGTGGTGGAGTAGAGAGAGCACTAGACATGGAATCACAGAGACGAGGATTTGAATCTTCCTTCCTGCACTTGCTTAGCCATGTCTGATATTTCCCTAGACGTAGGACTTTG